GGGGGGAGGTTGTGTGCCCCCCATTTTGGGAGCCTCTCTCTTAGCGGGTGCCCTGCTGCTTCCAACTCCAGATCCTCGAGGAGTACCTGCTGGTGGAAGATGCCCCTCTGCTGGAGGAGATGGCTGAGGAGGATGAGGAGCTCGACTTGTACAACGAGATGACTTTTGGGTTAGGTAAGACCTTAGGGGGAGCCCTGGTGTCAGGGAGATCAGCCAGCACAAATGGGGACCCTGGTGGTCACTGCCAAGGCACTCACCCGCCCTCGTTGTGCTCTGCTACCCCCTCCAAGACCGAGACTCCATGGAGGAGGATGCCCCAAAGCCCCTGGTGCCACCAGTGATAAGCCCTGAGCTGGCTGAAGCGGTGGCAGAGGAGACTGAGACCAGGGAGGAACTGGGACCTGGAGCAGCTGAGCAGCCAGAGGAGCTGGGAGAACCCCAGGAGAAAGGTGGGACAGAGCTGGAGGTGGAGCACGTTGGCTTCAACTTGGAGGAAGAGGAGGAGGAGGAGCTGGAGACCGAGGAACAGGAGGAAGACCGGGAGCCCTGTGTGGAGCCCATCGACCTGGGAGACCCAGCCGTGATGAGAGCTGTGCAGGGCAAACCCACGCTGGAGGTGATGCCTGAGTGGAGAGGAGAGACCCTTTGCTCCCTGCTCCAGCCCCACACCTGTGGGAGCTGCCCCACGGAGGGCATGGGGGAGAGAGGTGGACCAGGCTGAGTACCTGCCTGTAACTCTTCTTTCCTTACAGAGCCAGGACTCAGCGGTGCTGGACAGCAAGATTGATGCTTTCTGGGAAGGGTTTGACAAGGAGGACATGGTAAAAATGTCCCCTCCCATCTGGTGATGAGGCTGAGCAGTCCCTGTGGTGACCCCCTGCCCCTCTCCTCCTGTCCTTCCCCATGCCAACCATCTCCCTGTCTTCCAGATGGATCCCATGGTGTGGGGCTCCTGCCCCCACAGTGTCCCACCCCACCGCGTGCTGGAGGTGGGTACCCCCAGCCAGGCCCTGGGACAAGGGTCACACAGGTGATTTGGGGTGAGACTCCAAAGCCTCATCATGGCTCTGGAGGTGAACAGATGTGTCTGGAGTGCCACGGCTGTGGGTGGAGGTGCCCACCCAAAGCAGAGCCTGAGTTTGAAGGCATAGCTGTTAGGTTTGAGGGGATTGGGACCCCCATGCTGGGTGTCCCTTATGGGTGCCACTGGTGGGAGCTGGTGCCTGGTCTGGTTAAGCAATGACTGAAGGTTTTGGTGAGCTGCATGATGATGCTGGGGGAGCTAAACTGATTCCAGCTGGGCCCCGTTCCCACTTGCTGCTGCCTCCTCCCTGCAGGATAAAGCCATCCTCCAGGTCCTGGAGAGGCCCCCCCCACCCACCAACATGGCCCTCGACTTCCTCGGCTCCCCTGTGCGGAGGGGCTATGGGGGCTCTCCCCGGATCAAGCACCCTGACTTAAGACTGATGTCCCCCAAGTCCTTCCCCCAGCGCTTTCTCCGGCAGGTAACAGGTTTGGGGGGGCTCTTGCATCCCCTCCTTCTTTACCCTGCCCTCCCCAGAGGGGCACCCTTGAGGACAGGCTTTTCCTGTTGACACCTCCCATCTCCTGCCCTGCAGCAGGTGCCTCTGATGTCTCCTCGCTCCCCTCGGCCCTTCCCGCCGGCTCACAGACCTCCTCCACTCTTGGCTTCCAACAAGGTAATGTGGTGGGCTGTGAGCCACTGCCATGACCCTGCTGAGGTGGTCCTGGAGCAGCAGGGGATGGGGACAGCAGAAGGATTCCGGGGCAGTCACCTTGCTGGATGCCCCACACATCTCCTCTGTGCAGGGAGAGGGGGACAGGAGCCAGAAACCAGCACGGAGCTGGCCAGACCCTCCGGGACACACTGGGAAGGCCCAGATACCTGATCTCCTCTCTCCCTCTCCAGACCACAGGGTACGTGCCTCTGACCCGTTTCCAGCCCACGTCCCCCACCATGTGCAGGCCAGCGCGGCCTCTCGCTATGCACTTCGGCCCCATGTCTCCCTCCTTGGACCCTGCTCTCTTCTTCAGCCCCTCAGCCTGCAGCCAGCTGAACCTCAGGTAGCAGGAGTGGGGTTTCCAGGTGGGACCCCACAAAGCAGTTGGGGGTGTCCCCCCTCTGGGGGTGTGCTGAGCCCCCCTGACCCCCATCTGGTCTCCCTTCCAGTACGCCCAGCCACATGACCCAGCTGCACCCGCAGCACCAGCGGATCCTGACGCAGCAGCAGGACAGGCAGACGCAGAGGTATGGGGGTCCCTGGGGAGCTGTGAGGTGCAGGGAGGACTCTGGGCAGTCACAGCAGGCTGAGACATTCTCCTGTGCCAGCGTCTCCCCCAAGAAGCTGTGGTCTTCTAAAGTGGACCCTTACTCTGGGCTGATGACCTCCAAGGAGAAGGAGTGGGTCGTCAAGGTGGAGATGATCCAGCTGCAGAGTGAGAACATGGATGATGACTACTACTACCAGGTGAGCTCCTTCTGGAGCACCTGTGGCTTGCTCTCCTTAGGGCCAGGACTTTGGGAGCTGGAGGTGCCCTCCCGGGCTGATGGAGGGGACTCCTAGCTACACCTGTTGTTACAGACATACTACCACCGGCTGGAGCACAAACAGGCAGAGGAGGAGCTGCTGGGTGGGCGCAACAAGCAGGAGCCCCCCAAGCTGGTCACACCATTCATCCAGAAAGTGGAGACATACGACTCTGGTGAGGGGCTGGGACAGGTGTTGGGGGGCTGTGAAGGGGCAACTAGCAGTCTCACCGTGTCCCACCTCTCCCGCAGTGGTGCGCATCGCGGGCTCGCTGGGCCAGGTTGCGGTGTCCACCTGCTACAGCCCTCGCCGGGCCATCGATGCTGTGCACCATGCCCTCGTGGAGGAGGTAGGTGAGGGGTGGTTGGTGCCCTGAATTGCCAGGAATGCTGCTCTGAGCTTTCCCTGGACCCTGGAGCAGTGGGATGGGGCACACAGTTGGAGAGGCTCTGCCTTAGTGGTGGTATCTTGTCTCCGGCCAAGGGGTGGGATGGGGCTCCAGGCAGCTGGAGTTGGCTGCAGTCTCCCCATGGGATTGCTCTGTATCCTGAAGCTGCCTGTTATCCCCAGAGAGCCGCTGGCCCAGCACTGGGCTGGTGGTGGTGCCTGGGGCTGGCTGTAACCCTTGTGCCTTCCTTTGTCCCTCCCAAAGGCTGCAGGGAGCCACCGGCTGCGGGCACTGCACAGGATCGAGAAGGTGAGCAAGCGGCGATCCGGGGCAGGGTGGTCCAAGAGCTCTGTTTTCATCCAAGGATTTCTCCAAGGGAATATCTGCCTGAGCATGGTCCTGGATAACCAGTTAGTGGAAGATGCTCCAAACTTCCTTCTTACCCTGTGCCGTTTCTCCAGCTCTTCCTGCAGCTGCTGGAAGTGGAGGAGGCACAGCGGAAGGTGTCCCTGGTCCCAGGGGAGCAGCAGCCCTGTGGTCAGAAGCAAAAGAGCCAAGAAGTGATGAGTATCTACCAAGCCTTGAAAATCAGGGCTTGCAGCAATGAAGAGTGAGTCTGTGCTGTGGGGAGAGGGGAGCTGGCTGCGAGTCCTGGTCCTCATGGGAATGAGATGGGTGAGGATGAGTAGTTCTGGATGATGGGGAGGGTTGGATCCTGCCTGCCATGTGTCACCACAGCCTGTGCTGACCCTGCCTCTGAGCCTCATCCTTCACTGGAGCATCCCTCTGGATGGACCGAGATGCTCCAGGTCCCTTGGGATCTGTGCCAATGGGAGCCTTCATCCCCAGGGAGGCAGAGGATGAATTCCTGCAACTGCTGTGTGTGCGGAAGGGCAAGAAACTCATTGCCCGACTGCTGCCCCACATGACCCGGGACCAACAGGAGAAGATCCTGCTGACCATCACTCACCACCTGCCCTTCCTCATGAAGAAGGACATGTCGGATGAGGCAAGCACCACCAGCCAGGGCAGAGATGGCCTGGGCTGCCTTCTTCTCTCTCTGCTCTGCTCTCACTGTGGGAGCACCCTGGGCAATGGGGGGAGGGCCTGTCTTCTGGGGCTGACATGGGACAGGAGCCTCTTCCCTTCCCTGGGAAGGAGGAGAAAGGTCTCCAGGGGGGATTAAAGCAGTCCTGGTGGAAGTGACTTACCTCAGTCACTTGGGTGGTGGGTACAATGTTGGTGTTTGCATCCCCCCCAGGTGTTGGGATGGGGCTGTGACAGTGATGGGTCAAAGGGGCTCAGCTTCCTGCTCTCCTCTCTGCCCTGCCCAGTCTCTCCCCCTGCTCTACAGCCCATTGAACGTGGTGGTGGGCAGGATGACCTTCAGCAAACTCATCGAGGTCCTGCAGGAGCTGACGCAGCCTCTGCCCGAGTCCTCCCTCGCTATGGCCTTAAAGAACCAGGTATGTAGCCCTGAGTTGAGCAGAACCTCATGACATCCCTGAGGTGCCACCACTGCTGGCTGTGACACACCTGGTGCTTCCCTGCAGTTTGGGATCTCTCTGCTTTACTCCCTGCTGAGCCATGGTGAGAGGCTGCTGTCCTCGGATGTGCCGCTGGAGCCGCGCAGTGGAGACTTTGAGGCCTGGTGAGGGGCTGTGGGGGAGCAGTGGGTTGGGGGTTTGCTGACTCATGGGGTGCTCACCCCCCTGTGCTGATGCCCCCAGGACAGACACAGTGTACCTGGTGGCCCGGGAGCTGTCTCAGGTGCCCAAAGCTTTGCTGGTGGAGCCTCTCTCCTTGCCCAGCAACCTTCTCTCGCTCTTCTGTCGTTACCTGGACAAGCAGACAGTCTACCACCTGGAAGCCAAAATGGAGTGAGTACAGCCTGGAATGACTCCCTGTCTCTCTTGGGGTTCTCCTGGGAGAGGAGCAGACAGCATTGGGGTGTCACTTCTTCCATCCCTCTTTGGACTTGCCACCAAACATCCACCTGGGTCAGGCTGATCCTTATGACTTTGCTCCTGCTTCTCTGGGGCGGGTTACTAACCTCCTCCTTTCCCTGAAGGTGCTCCCCACTGCCATCAGAGGGACTGCCATGCTGTGCTGAGCCCTGGGAGCTGGGAGTGGGAGCTGGGGCCAGGCAGGACCTGATGCCATGACTTCTGAGTTTGGAAGCGAAGGCTGACCTTGGTGCAGGGCACTTTGGGTGATGTGGGACTGGCGGGGGGGGGGCCGCTCCTGGAGTGTGGGGGGCAGGTGTAACTTATTCTAGCCTCACACCCAGCAGCAGTGAGAGCTGGGTCACAGTGGGTGTGAGGTGAGGGCTGCACAGGGGCGCTGGAAGCACCTAGGGGGTGATTTTGTGTACAGCACTGGAAGTAAAATAAAATAAAAAGGTGATTAACAAGCTCCTCCGGCTCCTGTGGGTGACTTCTGCTGGATGCTCAGGGATCCTGTGGCAGTTCTGGGCATGAACACCCCAGTCTGGTGTGGTGGGGATCTGGTAAAGGGGAAGGAGAAGCAAGGAGGAATGCTCAGAGGACCCAGAAGGAGGATAAAAGAGGATGGACAAGGGAGTCATAGAACCTGTGCAGCTGGGGACAGAGAGGAACTGAGGCCCCAGGGAGTGGAATGGGCTAGGAGAGAAGGGATGTGGTGGGGAAGATGAGTCAGAGCTTGTTCCGAAAGGGAAGGAAAGATCTGTGCAGGCAGGAGAAGAACCGTAGAATCATCAGGGTTGGAAGAGACCTTTAAGGTCATCAAGTCCAACAGTTAACCTGTCGCTGCTGTAACCCTTAAACCATATCCTCCAGCACAGGTCCAGACACCTCTAGTGCAGGTATGGGGTTCATCCTGGGATGTCCTGGTGGGATATGGGGATCCTTCTGAGATGTCTGTTGAGGATATTGGGCTCATCCTGGGCTGTAT